CAATCACACAGTGAGCAGTTGGCATGTCCACCAGCCAGTGGGTGGGCCAGGACAGGGGCGATCACACAGTGAGCAGTTGGCATGTCCACCAGCCAGTGGGTGGGCCAGGACAGGGGCAATCACACAGTGAGCAGTTGGCATGTCCACCAGCCAATGGGTGGGCCAGGACAGGGGTGATCACACAGTTAATTGCTGTGCTGGTTGTGGATTTTGTTATTAAGGAAAACATGAGACCCCCCCTCCAAATTTACAAAATTCAAAATTTGTCATCTTTAATGTCTTTTACTACCTTCTCTAAGAAATTAGATATATCTTTAGTGGAAACATGAAGAAAAATACTCTAAAAAAAGTAAAAACTGGGTGTAGTACATTAAAAAAACAGTAAATAGTAATAATAAGTATACTTTGAAGTTTTGCTCCACTGATCCCTGTAATTTTCCTTGTCAACCCTTTTTGGATGTAACTTCAGAGACCGCTTCACCATACTACAGCTGCAGGTCTCCAATTTTCTGGAAAAAAAAAAAAATATATATATATATATATATATATATGGGTTATAGACTGTAAGTTATGAGTTAGAAGATACTTATTTGACTTCATAGATAATATTTACCTCATTGCATGGGAGCAACTTGAAGGAGTTCATTGCATGGGAGTACTTCAAGGTTTGGAAAGCAAATGAAACAAAATGTGAACTAATTGAAGGTTGGTTCATTAGTGAACCAGCATCTGTCTCCTTTGCTCTGGTAACGGAGACTTTGTTTTCCTTTCTTGGCAGTGATACTCTGGAGTCGAACGTGACCGTTTTATGTAGGTTCATTTCTCTCATCTGTCCTGTGACTGCACCACACTGCACCCTAAATACTGAAGAGTTTGTGTGTTAGAGTGTAGTCAGAGAGAACACAGGGATCTACTTGAGATAATGGTGCCTGTTCAGATATGGGCTACACAGAGTGTCTCTCTTAAAGTGATGTTACTAATAAAGATTACCTATGATTCAGTGTGAAACTGAAGATGCTTTTCCATCCACCGAAGTTGATTAAGCAGAGGAGAGGCGTCTGAAAGGAGGAGTTCACTGGTGTTTGCTCTCAGAGTTGAATTTTATTTGAAGGAGGACATCAGCTAACCAGGCGAACAGCTGAACCTTGTGGAGAGCTTGGAATTGAATGTCTCGTGACACATCGTAAGGGCTTGGCTGGACACATAGGTTGTCAGAGAAGCACCAGGGTTGTTTGGGAGTGTGTTCATATGGAGTAGATTAATTTATTCAGTTATTACTATCATCATCTGAGCTACTGTTTTCTGTGTGTATATATAACCAGGCATCTTTCTCTGTCTCATACTGCTGAACCTTGTATCATCCGCATAGTTGGCTAAATAACCAAGTGTCTTTCTGTTTCTCTTTTCTTTGTTAGGATTGTTTATTTCCAGGCAGACTTCATGGGTCACTGAACACTTGTCAGTTTGTCTTGTTTAGAGTAATATATTTTTAGTTTTGTGAAAAAATAAATTACTGGGGCTGGACAGATGATTCAGTGGTTCAGTGTGTTGGCTGTTTTTCCAGAGCACCAGGGCTCAAGTTCCAGCACCCATGTGGTGGCTCACAACTGTCTGTAACCTTAGTTCCTGGGGACCTAATGCCGTTTTCTGGTCTCTGAGGGCACCAGGCACATAGGTGGTACACACACATACATGCAGGCAAAACACTCATACACATAAAATGTTTTTTAAAAATTACCAAGACAGAGTGGTACAACCTGTAGTTGTAGCATCTGGGAGGCTGAGGCAGGCAGATCAGGAGTTTCAGGCCAGGCTGGGCTTCATAGTGAGACCATGCCTCAAAACAATAAGGAGCTAATATTTCCTGAAAACTTACTAAGTTCCAAATGCTTTTGCATGTTTGTTTTTTTCCCCCTCTAGTTCTCCCTACAACCTAGCTAAGGCGTGATGATATTTGAGTTTTACAGAACTGAACCAGGTTAACTAATCCTCCCCAAGGTCACACAGCTAGTTTAAGTGACAGAGTTAGTACTGAGTGCAAGGTTTGTTGTCGTCTGACCCTGTGTGTCCGTGTGACTCCTGTACAGTGTGGGTCCCTGGTGTCTCTGCACTTCTCCACGTGGCTTGTTTCCTGTTCCTGTAATACTGTAAATAATCCCTCTAAGTAGGCTCCATGCTTTACTGATACCAGATATACTCATCATTTAAGCCCCACGTCAAATGCTACCTTCCCCCAGATTTTCTCAGTAGCCCCCTATGGAAGTAAACCCGCTGTCTTTAAACTCCCGTGACAGTGTGTATCTTTCTTTGTGAACTTATTTTACCTTTAGTTGCAATGACTCCCACACATGTGTGAATTTACCAGCCAGAAACCCTTTCATTCGCTGTATTCTAAGTCAGTGTTGAACGCTGAAAGCATTTAGTATTTGCTGTCTTAATATTATATGTAAAAGCCAAACAAAACAGGAGTAAACAAGGAAGAGCAAGGCAGTGTGGAAATATTAGTGGGTTTGTGATCGTTTGTTTCTTCTTATTTAGAATCATGTTAAATTCTGTGGTGGTATAACGAGATGTGTCATGGATTTCCTACTTTAGTGAGAAGGTTCAGATTCTTAGCATTTTGTTTTTTTTTTTTTCCTTTTAATAAGACAAATAATAAGTCTGTTCAGGAGAGGCAGAAGGGCCCTGCTGTTTTAATTTTGTTCACAGCAGTGGGTCCGATCCTGCTCCTTTGGTCCTAGCTTTTTATAATAGGCTCAATGTAGTACTGGAATTCCACCATTGGTTATCATTGAATGTATTATCCTTTGCGTTTATGGCCACCAGTGGGATTGCCAAATAGTTTAGAATAAGTTTATGGTAAACTGGCATCTACTCTTCCACAAATATAACATTGCTGTTGATGGTATACTATGGAATTTTATAGAGAGATTGTCTCTTATTCTGCTTGCTCTCAGTTTTATGTTTTAGAGGAAGGCAACTAAACCCAAACTTCCCTTGCCAAAAGGGCACAGGAAGTCTCACCAAAAGTTAAATTTCTAAAGTGCGCCTTAGGGGATTGCTGAGATGGCTTTCGCTGTGGAAGCGTGGTCTCCTGAGTTTGGTCTCTGGAACCCACATTAAGGTGGACAGAGAAAGCCTACTCCACAAGTTATTCTCTGGCTTCCATGTGTGCCAGGGCTCGTGTGCCCACACGTGCACACATGTATAGCATTAATAATGGTAAATAATTACATATGTCAATTTCCTTTTTAACTCTTCTGCTTGAGCATTTCACGCAAACAAAAAAAGCTTTGAATAAACACAGAGTGGTAGAGGTTTCGTTGTAACTTACTGAGCTTTAAGTGCTGAGTTGTTGAGTTACAAGTTGTGTGCTTTTCTAGTTTCTTCTGCCCGAACTGTCCATGTATTTCCTGCTCATTTAGCTGAACTCTTGAACCCCTGAGATATCCTGAGATTCTTCTTACTTTTTTTTTTTTTTGAGAGAGAAGTGCTTTTATTAAGATAATCTCTTTGAAATGACTGTCAGTCTTTTTAATCATGTGGAACTTCATGAAATTGCCAGTAAAGCAAAAGGTAGATAGACAGTAACTCAGTCCTCTGACTGTTGAACTCAAGACAGTAGTAAGTAGATTCTCACAAATTGAGAGGCTCACAAAAATACTCAATTTGTTAAGATTTATGGATCTAGCATTAAATATCCATAGGGGAGGGGGGGATAAAATTAAAGCTGTCAGTAATGTAATATTTTGAAAGCATTTAACATTAACAGGGGTATGTAAAATGATACATGGGGGTTGAAGATCATCTGGAGAGTGCTTGCCTAGCATGCGTGAGATTGTGGGTTTGGTCTCCGCGCCACATAAAACCAGGTGGGATGGTACATGCTTGTAATCCCAGCATTTGGGAGGTTCCTAGTTACACTGTGAATTGGAGGCTTCCAGGACTGCCTGAAACACACAGGCACTCACGCAATGTAAAATGATCAGTTTTAGTTCTCATAATAAAAACTTAAGTTCTCCTTTATCAAAGTCATATTTTAAATTCTGGATTATTACAATAGTAGCATACTTATTTAAGGGAACTAGTATAAGGTAATTCTGATACTTGCTAACTAGCTCATTGTATTTTGCTTTTTTATATAGATTTGTTAGCCCTTGTAACAGTCATTTGAGGCAAGTATAATGACTCAAGTCAGATGGATCGAGCTGTACAAGTCTGTACATTGAATTCACTGGTTGTGATATGATGAAGTTATTAACAAGCCTGGCTAATGCTCTCTCTTTTTTTCTCCTTTTAGATCTACACACAATGAGTTGGAAAAGAACCGGTGAGTCAGTGATGAGGTGCAGCTTTCATCTGTTTGAAAGCAAACTTACTGTTTTACCTGGAAATTAAAGTGATTGATAGTGTATATATAGTTGTTATTTTTAAGATGCATAGATTATTGATTTTGATATATTGTATTTTCTGGAAGAAATGATATATGAGGTAAACATGTTACTAAGCTCACTTGAATTTGAGTTTATGAGATGGCTTCTTTTCTGTCTTAGAGAACAGATTGACTGATAGGTTCATGGAGTAAAACATGGTCTTGCTAAAGGATCAGGTTTCTGGATTAAGTAAATAGTGCATTGAATCTGCAGTTTACTTATTTGTTTTCTTATTCATTCAATAAATGTTTATCAATCATGAACTATAACACCTCATTGCGAGACACACTGAGTAGTTTGCGTAGAAAATAGAAGAATGGTTTAGGCCATTTTTGTCCTTAAGGAACTCAAGTTTTGTGGGTGATGGAGAAACAGAAGGTACTTACTACAAGATCATTTGGGAAGGCTCTTCATAAGACAGTGAGTGAGCATTGACTACTCAGAAGACTGCGAGGTCGGTCCGGTGTGAGCATAAAGACGGTGGCATGCATGAGGCCCGGGTTCCTTCGGTAGCACTGCAATCAAAGAAAACAAAAACTTAGAGCACAGAGTGCCAGGCATGGTGGCACACATCTGAAAATCCCAGCGTTTGAGAATCTGAGGCATAGGAAGATCTTGAGTTCAAGGTTAATGTAGGCTATGTAATAAATTCAAAACCAGCCTGACCTGTTTCAAAGCGAGATCCTGTCTCAAAAACAAAATGGGATTGGAGAGATGGCTTAGCAGTTAAAAGAGGGCCCAGGTTCAGTTCCCAGCATCCACAACCACACATTACTCCAGTTTCAGGGAATCTGAAGCCCTATTCTGACCTCCATAGATACCAGGCACACACATGGTGCACATACATATATTCAGGGAAAACACTCAAACACAAAATAATACAAAAACAACAAAACAATAAGAAAATTAGAATATATTGTGGGCCACATGGGTTAAATACTGATAAACCAGTGGATTTTGTAATGATTTAATCCATATGGATATGATTCTCACTCAGTAGGCATCCATTAGAAACCTGGCAAAAAGTTTTTAACGTGAGTAAAGAGAGTCTTTAGTAACTATATGGGTGAGAACTTTCAAAGTCTTGAGTAAATTTTATTTATTAATGCATGTCATCTCTGACTTAATCACAGCATAAAAATGTGAAGATGGTGTTTGTCCGTTGTGGTATTGCTTTGCTATACCCTGTGAGTTATTTAACCAGTGTCCTGCTGTGACTCGGGTATGGCTTTGCAGAAGTCTCCTGCTAGGACCTTATTTGGGGTATGCTCCGTGGTCGCGCAAATGCTGACAGACAGCCTTCATTTCTTTTTTCTCTGATTATTTTTCCCCTTTCATGCTGTTGTTTATCTGCTTGCTTTATTCTCTTCCCCCATTCCCGGGGGGCCACTGTGAGGTAATACAGTAACCTTTCCAAGACATGTTCTCAAAGGATTCTTATCATTAGAAATACAGTTGTCAGCTGGGCAGTGCTGACTCACGCCTTTAATCCCAGCACTCAGGAGGCAGAGGCAGGCAGATCTCTATGAGTTCGAGGCCAGCCTGGGCTATGGAGTGAGTTCCAGGAAAGGCTCCAAAGCTACACAGAGAAATCCTGTCTCAGAAAAACAAAACAAAACAAAACAAACAAACAACAAAGAAGAAAAAAAAAAGAAAATTGTCATTTAGCAGCGTGTATAAGAGGACCAATGCTAAAAGAAAAATCAAATTTAATAACTTATGCCCTATTTCTGGAAAGCTACCAGCAAGACACAGCAAGGCAGCACAGGAACATGTAAAAGCTCAGCCCATATTCTTATATATTTTTAGCCCCTACCAAGTATTATTTAATATTTGTTATTTCCAAAGTACAGCTCTTATTTACACTGTTAATTTAAAATTATGGTCAGCCTGGGTTTTGAATCTTTTGAGGTAAGTTAATTCTGGCTTTACTTGTCATCGGCCTTAGAACATGCTCTCAGTGAGGAAAGTAACTCAGTATCCAAGCAGCAGTTCAGTGTGTGTTCATCCTGAAAAGGTATTCTTGGAGTAATTTGTATTCTTGAAATTTTGCCACTTTATATATATTATATTTATGTCAGAAAAAAAGTTTTCTTCTTAGTTCATGCTAAACTCTTGACATAAAGCTCTTGGAGTTGGTGTTTTTTTAACTGGGGCAAATGCAGTGAGAGCACCAGTATGTGGTGTGCAGTGTTAATGAACAGTAGAGAAGTGTCCGATGGTTCTCTTAAAACCCCGAGTTTGCCGAAGCTTGGGTTCTGGCCGTGAAGAGATAATAGCTAACAAATGTTGAGGTTCGTGCTCCTGGAGACTTGGGGCCAGGGACACCCATAGTACTTTGTTTAAACCTATCATTACCCAGATGCCTATAACTCACTCACTATGGAGCTTTCGGTAGTCTCAAACACTTTTCGGGAGGTCTCTGGAGCTGGTTTCCTCTTAGCACCGTGTTGGGCAACCTGAGCTGGTGCAGAGCTCGTTACTTGTGGAGTATCCCTGTTGTGTCGTCTCCACACAGGCCCTGACAGGTCCAGCAAGTGCACAGTCGGTGGCTCTGTTCCTCGGGAACCTGTGTGAATTAGCTCACGGTAAACCTAACGAGTCTCCGAGAGCCAGGTATTAGGGTTTACTTTGTCCGTTGGCTTATCCTAGGAGTTTGGTCCTCTGGCAGAGAAGAGACTGTTGAGTGCAGATTTGGATGCCACTTCACTGGTTTTCATTTTCTTAATTCAAATTACTGGTGATGTTTTCAACAGAGTCAACAACTTTAGCAGGACTTGAATGGTCAAGAACCTGAGTGCTGACTGCAGGGGAGGCCATTCAACCTTAGTAGCCGCCTTCGACTGAGACACAAGGCTCACCCTTGTTACCGCTTTGGCGAAGCTGGGAGGGGCCAATGAGGACACTGGACTAAGAAGATGCTTGCTAGGCAGAGGGGGAATGTCTGTGATAAAGAGAATTAAGTCCAGTGGATGGCAATAGGTGTCCTCCATACATAAAGACACTCACATCCTCCTGAGAGAAAGATGGTGTAAAAATTTATGGTTTTTATGGTTTATGTTGCACAAATCCTAATGGACCTTTTAATGAAAATCTCGAAGCCAGATACTGGGGTAAACACTGAAAGATCAGAGAGACAAAGGAATAAGACACTAGAGAAACTTCTCACCACTACCGAATCCTCAGGCCGAATGGAAGGCGAGCTCCTATCTCCACAAAGCCTCTGACTGAATTCCCGAGTCCTCAGCTTAAAAAGCTTCAGCTCTAGTTCCTGCCTCCTCACGCCTTATATGCCTTTCTCCACCCAGCTATATCACTTCCCAGTGCTGGGATTAAAGGCATGTGTGCTTCCCAAATACAGGCAGCAAAGGCATGAGATCTCAAGTACTGGGATTAAAGGTGTGTGCCACCACTGCCTGGCCTCTATGTTTAATCCAGTGGCTTGTTCATTCTCTGATCTTCAGGAAAGCTTTATTAGAGTACAACAGAATATCACCACGGAGTGCCTACTGTGCTCCCCATCACACAGTGCTCTTCTATGATTCCAGAAGATAGGAAAACAAAAACTGTGGGTCATAGTGTCTTTGAAAACTGGCTATCACAATAATTTGAAACAAGATGGATATGAGCATAAAACAATCCTGACCATGATCCTGTCTAATCATAAATATGATGGCTATGTTTATTATTAATCTTTTTCTTTAGTGATAATTAACAAATACTTGGCATTGTGATACATAAAATGAAGATATGATTCAAGCTTTATCCTATATCCTTAAGGTTAAAATCATCATGGTTTGGTATTCACAGGTTTATTTTCTAATGACAAGATCTAGTTTAGTGACCTGTTAATGTCTGGAAAGGAACACTAACGGTGTGTTCAAAATGAAAACTGAAACCCATTAGTAGTGTGTGATTTAGTGAGTCACTGTGAAGAGAAAATATAGTAGAAACTCTAGTTACATTTCCTTAAATAAATGTAGAATTGTAAAACCTGTTTAAACTCGGTCATGATGTTAAAATGCTGTATGGTATAGTAAGAGAGACTGCTGGGTCACCAAGAGGAATGTGTGCTGATCTGTGAGGCCTTAGGAAAATGGTCAGTGTGAGCAGATCTACAGAAGCAGGACACTGGCACAGAAAATTGTGTCCACGGGCCCGTGCGATGGCTCAGTGGCTACCAGTGCCTCCCAGGCACAAATCTGACAGCGTGTCCTCAAGTCCAGAATCCCACTGTGGAAGGACAGAACTTTGTCTCCCAGCACAACCTCTGACCTTCCCATGCACACCGTGGCACATGTACCCACACTCTCTCATGTACACAATGAGAGTTACGTCCAGAAAGGAAAAGACCACATTAAGTGGGGGAAGAGCAGAGTCTGTCACATTAGCGATGGCCGCTAAGACCAGAAAGGTAGTTTGCGATTGGACTGTGGAATGGTATTTGTACTTCATTTTGTTGGCAGTGATATTTGAGGCCTTTGTTTGTTTTTGTAGTATTGGGAATTGGACCCCAGGACCCCAGGTTAGGTAAGTGTGCCACTGAAATAATCACCCAACCAAGAAGACTTGAGGTTTTGTAGGAAAGATGAAGGCATGATTGGAGCATTGGCGGAGGAGGGGCCCTACCAGCTGGTGATATGTGCTTAAAATCCCTGCACTTGGAAGGTAGAGGCAGAAGGATCAGGACTTGGAAGCCAGCCCCTACTACGTAGCCAATTTTAGGCGAGCCTTGGGTACATGAGACCAGTTAGGACTAAATGATGAAATAAAATGTAGCTATAGAAGATGGGAGACTAGTTTGGGGTTTTTTTTTTTTTTTTTTTTTTTTTTTTTTTGGTTTTTCGAGACAGGGTTTCTCTGTGTAGTTTTGCGCCTTTCCTGGGACTCACTTGGT